AAATGTATAAAAGGGACAAAATAAAGTGTGTGATGCTTTCTTGTGCACGGTTGGTACAGGACACCACACAGCCGTTGTACGATCAAGTTCAGAGATGCCTGGAAAGGAGAAAGGAGGAAATGCCCTACAGATCAATGACGCGTGGCCATAAATGACGTGGCACACTTTTGTGTATTGTCCCTCAGCACACCTGCCACGTGAGCTCGGCATGCACCACGTGATCACACATGAAACAGACGAAGGCACGTGTTCCTTTCAGACGTGGCTCCAGATAACGCTCAGAGAACTCATCAAACCAGCACTGCAGCTTGATCTAGTCATACATGCAATCGGTATGAAAGCTTTAAATAGCTCCTAATACAGCAAAGTCAAAAGAGACAACTCATATTTGCCGACGCAACTCTGTAAATAATTATTAACACTGAATCTAAGTAAAATCTGACAAATTCTAAATTAACTACAGTAAATAAAATATTATGTTTAATAAAACTACTACTATAAGATACTGTCATGTAGAGATACAGGACGATGTCTGCAGCAAAGCAGGAAGGTCCCCTTCTAGAAATAACTGCACATATATTGTCAGAATGGATCAAAAAACAAATGGTGTTGGGAGAACTAGACAGCTACGTGCAAAAAAATGAAACTTGAGCACAGACTTACACCATACACCAAAATAAATTCAAGGTGGATAAAAGACTTAAATGTAAGTCGTGACACCATTAAAGTCCTAGAGGAGAACATTGGCAAGAAAATCTCAGATATTTCACGCAGCAACTTCTTTACTGATATGTCCCCTAGAGCAAGGAATGTAAAGGAAAGAATAAACAAATGGGATCTCATCAAAATAAAAAGCTTCTGCGTGGCTAAAGAAAACAGTATTAAAGTAGCAAGACAACCAACTGTATGGGAAAACATATTTGCCAATGATACCTCAGACAAAGGTTTAATCTCCAAAATATACAAAGAACTTACACGACTCCACTCTAAGAAGACACCCAACCCAATTAAAAAATGGGAAAAGGACTTGAACAAACACTTCTCCAAGGAGGACATACAGAACATTCAGAGACACATGAAGAGATGCTCAATATCGTTAGCTATCAGAGAGATGCAAATTAAAACCACAATGAGATACCACTTTACACCAGTCAGGATGGCTATCATAAACAAAGCAACAAACAACAAATGTTGGAGGGGTTGTGGGGAAAGGGGTCCTTAGTTCACTGTTGGTGGGATTGCAGACTGGTACAACCATTATGGAAAACAGTATGGAATTTTCTCAGAAAAATAAAAATCGACCTGCCTTTTGACCCAGCAATTCCACTTCTGGGATTATATCCTAAGAATCCTAAAACATCAATATCAAAGAACCTATGCACCACAATGTTCATAGCAGCACAATTTACAATAGCCAAGAGTTGGAAGCAACCTAGGTGCCCATCAGTAAATGAATGGATCAAAAAATTGTGGTACATATACACAATGGAATTCTATGCTGCAGAGAGAAAGAAGGAGCTACTACCTTTTGCAACAACATGGATGGAACTGGAAAGCATTATGCTGAGTGAAATAGGCCAGGTGCTGAAAGACAAATACCATATGATCTCACCTTTAACAGGAAGCTAAACAACAAAACAAACAAGCAAGCAGAAAAAAAAAAACAAAGACACTGAAATAGAGAACAAGGGGATAGTGACCAAAGGGGAGAAGGAAGGGAAGTTAAGGGGAAAAAGGGGGAGGCATTTGGAGGAACAAATAGGAAGGACACAAGGACGAGAACTAAGGGGGGGAAATGGGAGGGAGGTGGGGAGCAAGGGGCGGGGGAGGCTGGGATGGGAAAAATAGACAAAAAACTGTACTTGAAAAATAACTAAATAAAATTAAAAAAAAAACAAGGCCCAAGTATAAGTTGTCTATAAGAAATCTACTTTAAATATAAAGATACATATAGACTCAAGTAAGGGGATGGAGAAAAACACACCAAGCTATCACTAATCAGGGAAAGCAAGATTAGCGATGTGAATTTTAGACACAATAGATTTCAGAGCACAGAAAGTTATCCATAATAAGCAAACATATTACATAATGATAAAGGAGAAAAATGTCGAAGAAGAAATAGCAACTGTTAATATATATGTGCCGAACAGAGGAATAACAAACTAAAACAACCCAAGGAGAAATGGGTTAACCCAACCTTATAGTTGAAGACTTTAACACCCTTCTCTCAGAAATGGACAGATCTGGATGCAAGAAATTGGTAAGGCCACACTTGAACTCAATAGCACTCTCAATCAATTGGATATAACTGAATTGTATAGATCACCCAACAACAGCCAATTACACATTCTTCTCCAGCTCACAGGGAACTTTCACTAAGATGGACCTTAAAACATTTAAAATAACAGAGTCATACAACATCTGGTCTTACAACACAGTGAAACTGAGCTAGAAATCAGTACCAGGAGAATGACTGGAAAGGCCCAACAAACTTGGAGAAGAAACAATACCTGAGTCAAAGGTGGTATCTCATTGAAAATTTTAAAATAGTTTTGAAGTGAAAATTAAACCACAACTTTATCAAAATAAATAGGGTGCAGGAAAAGCCATGATCCTAAAGAAAGTTTTATATATGCATCGCATGCATACGTTAGAAAAGAAGAAAAATCTAAAATCTATATAAATTTCAAATGCATGAAAATTCTACAAGAGTTAAGTAAGCTACAGTGATAAATGCAAATTAGTGATTGCCTGGGGTTAAGGTGAAAAAAGACACAGGTTCAAATATTGCAGGAGGAAACTTTTGAGTATTTTCCTAATTTCTTCAAAAGAAAGAAAGAATCTTTGAAAAGGTAGATCATTGTTGAAAATAGAAAGTACCTGTAATAATCTGTTTTGATCCATTTAAAAAAGACTGAAATAGCAATGCTTTGAAAAACTGTAGTTATAATGGCTACAACTTGTTATTTAGTAAAGAAACTTCCTATCTAAATACTCCAAAAGTAATTTTATTGATAATGAATACAGGCAATGTGATTCTTCTACTTTAGCTTTTCTTCACATCTTTTGAAGTGTATTATCAAGCTAGAAGAAACTATGGCTATTGATTAGGGTTGATTGGACATTTTGTTATAATAATGGCTAAAGAATATATACACCAATGCGTAATTAAGTTAACATATAATATACATCTATATATATCTAATACCAGTATTTTAAGCACCTTCCATATATAAACTTATTTTTAAGTAAATATGTATTACATTACTATTCTGATCTGAAGAATGAGAAATTAAAATTTATATAAATAATGACTCTGAGAAATGTGATTAAGCTAGATGCTGAGTCAAAATCAGATTCTTCTCACTGCAGAATCAATTCTTACATTCCTTCTGCTATCCTGAAATTATATAATCTGAAGTATGGGTCTATATAGTCATTGGACCATTTCCAAATAAACTAATTTGTCATACTTTTTAGGATGTTTTCACTTTGGCTCTTATCTGTTTTTTTTTTTTTTTGTATTCCTACAAGTCTTCAGATTGCAATTCAAATAGGGCCATTTTAGCATTTTTGCCATACCAGCACCATTCTATAAATGCGGGGTAGTATGTAGACAAAATTATATACACTAAAATTTGCATCTAAATTGAAATGACACTTTTTCCAAAGAAGTGACATTCCAGTTTTCAGGCTAATGAATCGCTGGTGTTTTTTTATCTCATCTTATTCCTTGCAGCTCTTAATCTAACACTAAAATAATGCAAACATGGTGTCATTGCTGTCTGTTGTCATCGGTAGTCTAATTTCTACACAGTCAGTTGCAAAGATCCAGAAATCTAGGTAGGTACCATAATGGAATCCAAAATGAACTGAAAACCAGTTGAATACATATTCAGGAAAAGATATATTGATACCATATTCACAGAAGCAGAATTAATTTCATAAAAGGAGTTAGAGCATCATATTCTGATTTTAAATATGCATTTTTAAATTATTTATTTTCTTCAGATTATTTTTTCAAGTGGGAAAGACTAAATATTTTGGAATTTTGTATATCACACAGTAATACAATTTAGGAAATAAGACTTGAATTTTATGTATAATGACTCTTTGGATACACAATTTTGATCATTACAAAATTCACGTTGTTCTTGTTATAAAAATACATACTGTCTGTGTCTGTGTAGATATATACATATATGTACATGCATGTGTCTTATAGTCACATATCAAAAAAACAATGTATTCTATGTAAAACCTGTCTATTAACCTGTAGTATCTTACTCAGCTTTACTCTGTTACATTTTGAAGACCAAATTACTTCGAAATTGTACAAAAACGATCATCAGAGCAATGTCTCTGAAGCGCATCCCTTTATGAGGTCAGGCACCAGGACTGTTTATTCCATAGGGAATTTAAATAATAAATGGAAATTAAAGCGCAAGCCACCAGGCCCAGTGACTGAAGGATTAAAAGACAGAATGTGGTCATCATAATTGGGGAATTATAATTGGAAGAGGGCTTTTCCCCACGATTTCCACTTTGTTTTAAAAAGTGATTTTAAACAGGTGAAGTTTCTCTGTGCCATCTCTCTTGTATCGTGGAAACATGGACAAAGAACAGAGAAAAGCAGAATACCTGACTTGTACATTTTTCTAAATTAATCTCCCAGAGAAGGAAGTGAAGAAAATGTTCTTTTCTCTAAAGAAAATAATACCAAGGACTAAGAGCAAAGTCTTTGGCCCAGGAGAATAGTGGGCCTGTGTCCCAATCACCCAATCTCTGTAAACGTTTCCCGGGGCTTGAAGTCACCATTGTCTGCTCATTCTCCTATTGAACAATAGAAAACATCACGGCTGCACCCACAGTGGAAGAAAGTAGGTCACCCCGTACAGTTTTCCACTTTGCTTTCAGCAGGTATAGATTGTTACTGTTATTAACTCTGCGTGTGAAGCTCAACAATATTCCCCTGGAAATAAAGTTCGATTTCTTTTTACCTCAAACACTTCTTCATCCAAAATCCTCGTTCCAAAAACCGTGATGCCATGGGTGTCAACGATTGAGCTCTCGCTTCTATCCAGTGGTTTTGTGGCTTTCTTCTTACAGTCCACAATCATTGTCACCGTCTTCTTCTCCACGCTGATGGCTACCCGATGCCACCTGAAAAAATCAAGTGATTCTTCTGTAAGCCTCGAAGAGAGGGCTGCTGAACCACTGTCCACCTTAAAAATACAATATCTTTTAAATGGCGCAGGCAAGCTGCAATTGTACCAAGTATAGGCTCCTTTAGGGATTGATGAGCAGGCAGGTGACTGCTCACTGTTTACCCAGAACAGCCCTAGGCGCTCGAGGACACACACAGGTGAGACTCACAGCAGCACTGGCTGCTGATAAGGAAGTGCCATCCTCTGCTTCCCTTTGTGATGTCGCAACAAAAGGTCAATCTCCTCGCGTCCGAACCAGGGTATCTGATAGAGATTAGGGGGTGGGATACGGGAAAGTAATTGTGTCCATGTACGTAAATGCTTTCTTCCAAAGTGGAATGCCACTTAGGAAAAAGAAAGAAAAAAGAAAAAGAGGGTAAAAAAAAAGCCTTCTGCTCTAAAGATCCCCCGAGATTGGCTGTAAAAGGGGACATCTACTCATTGAATGGCTTTTCCACCTGGAGCCACGGAATGTCCTCACTGCAAACACACAATGTGCTTCTCTGTCTTTATTCACGTGTATTTCAAGTGCTCTCGTTTTATTTTTCTATTTTAATTTCAAGACGGTTATAGATCACTACTGTGGGCACGAGCCAAGATGAGACACAATCTCTCTCCTTCTTTCCAGGGTTGGCAAGAAGTGGAAATACTGAAAGAAAGCACAGTCCACGCATGGGTGGAGGGACAGTCTCCACCCACTGCGAAGCTCCCACTCCGGCTAATGCAGGACCACACTGATGGCCGTGAGGGCATGATCTGGCCGGCCCTTTGGAAATATGCATGCCCTCGTCATACCGTAATGTGGTGGATTTTTTCACAGTACCTGCTGCTACCCTAACCACCAAGTGAAGCCCACTGGATTTTGCAAGCCACTCTGGTTTATATTTAAAATTTTTTTTCCAAATGAAAAGTGCTAGATTAATATTCCAGAAATGTCTAGGACTCAATCCATAAAGTTAAGTACCCAAAAAGCAGCAGGAGCCTCCCTAAAATGTGCTTCATGTGACTTGGCACAGTGACTGATGAGGACCAAGTGCATTTCCATATACACGGAATCTTTGGTCTTTCCACTGCACACTCAACTAGCGCAGGCGTCTGCATCCTTGGAACTGAGCCAAGATTTACGTTCAGAGCCCAATCCTCTGACTGTAGCATTTTCACAGAGGTCTGCTAGGAGGCCCACGTTTTAACTTAAGCCAGGCTCCCTGTTGTAGATGCGCGCTTTTCGTTGACAGAAAATAAAAATGACTTCAATTGGTAACTATCGATTGGGACTCTCAGTCTGCTATTTTGGGTGAATTTGCTTCAGATCTGTTAATAATGATGTGTCAAACGATGGTGTCGTATGTAATATTCATCACACTAAGTGAACACTTAGTTTTGGAGTTCCCATTAGTTATGCTTTTCTCATACTACACCTTCCTATCCTCAGAAAAGCAGGTCAGTTCTTACGGTCAAAGCGCATACAGAACCCAATGTCTCTCACCTGCGTGCAAACTGCCATCTCTCCCTCCTAGACCTCCACCTCGTCTCTGCTTCCACTCTCGGGCAAACAGAGCAGCCCCTTAAAAATGTCAGATCAAGTCTCTGCCCTGCTAAAAGCCACTGAATAGTCCCAGTAACAGCTGAAGTCCCTACTCTGCCTCATAAGCGTTGTCCCCTGGCCCTCTCTGACCTCATGTCCAAATTTTTGTCCTCTGATCCCTGTATTTCAGCCACACGGCTGCCTCCTTATTGTGCCCTATGGATCTCCATTCTTACAGGAATGCTCTTCCTCCATAGCCCTCTGTAGCTCACTCCTTCCCTCCAACTTGTATCTGCTCAGTGTAACCATATCAAAGAGAACCACTCTACCTAAACCGCATGTCCTACATTCCTTACCCTGATTTAATTTCATTCATTGACCTACCACCATTTTTTATATTAAATGTTAACGGGAATAATGTAAATGGCTCAGGAAAGCTTGGTATTTTCTGGCACCGAGATATTGTTTCCTCCAAGGCTCTGACAAACATATGCTGAGTGTAGATTTTTTCCCCAACTGCACTGCTATTTGCTTCTCAAATCTATAACCAAATGTCCTATCACAGATAAACCGATTTTGATAAGCCTAGATTCAGCAATCAAATGCCAAGAAAATCTAATAAGCACCGATGTGAATTCAGCTGCTCCCTAAATGGGAGGCAACGTTCAGAGCACAGAATTCACACATCAGCCTGATTTTCAGGAGGATGTTGTGGTTATGGGAGACTCGGACCACTTCCCAAAAATGCGACCTGTCTCTGCCCCTTTCCAAATACATGATCTCAGGCAAGTTACCGAAACTCTCTGAGCCTCAGTTGCCTTATCTGTACAATGGGCTGTTAACATTACTCTCCTCTTAAAAGTTGTGAAAAACTAAGTGATTTAACTGCATATAAAGCGTTTAGTAATGTAGCACATATCAAGTATGATATAAGGCTTCCGATACACAGATGTGCATCAATATTAATCTGATTGGTAAAAGGCAAGCAGATCATTCCTCTACTCAGAAAGTCTACAGTGACTTCCCATGTCACTGCAAACACAACCCCAAGTGCTAACAACCATCTGCAACGTGATGTCCCATCCGGCCTTCCATGGCGTCTCCTTTCCCATCACCCTCTCTGCTCCTGGTAGGCTGGCTCCCTTGACCTTGTTTAGACCAATCAGCCACCCCGGGTCTGCTTCCCATCCTCCTGGAATAGTAGACTATCAATTATCAGCACGACAGGCCCCCAACCTCCTTCACACGTCACCTTCTTCATGCAGTTTCCCCTGGGCCCCTCCTTAAAAGTGCACCCCACACCACCGTTCCCCAACCTCGTCCCTGGCCCCTTTCTCTCTCACTTATCACCATGTGACACACACTTCACTAGTTACTTTTGATTGCTTCTTCTTTGTCTGCCTAGACTGTAAACTCTATACAGTTAGATATTGTATTGTTTGCAGAAAAACCGTATCATACTTTTTCAACTCTTGTTGAGTTAGTTAATCAAACGCGAGAAGGGCCTTCCGCCGAAACATGAGATTGTTCAGTTACTTACTTCCCATCGGCGAGGTTCACAGTCCTGAACAGGGGGTAGTCTTCCGGGGCGGGTTTCCCAGTGTGGTCTTCAAACAGGAACACAGGCGACCTCCCGACCTCGACGCCGATTTGCTGAATACCATGTTCATTATATATAGACAAAAGGAAAGACTGAATTCCTTTTTTGGGTTTTACTGTAAATAATATTGAAAAATCTTCTGGGAAAGTTCCTCCTGGGAAGAGAAGTCCAGAGAGTGAGAATCCAAATTCCCAAATCACTCGGAGGTCACCCTACTAGGTTTTGACCTTTCTGGGTGGCCTTCCCAGGTCACCCGAGATCACATAGTAATAACAACATGGTTTAAAAAAAAACGGAGAAGAATCTCTGTTAAGCTATTCCTGCAATAATTCCTCAAGCTATACTCCAAGTTTAAAGCCACTCATTTAAAGCACAATAATGATATAAAATTAAATAAAAGATTAGGAAACAGAACGTGATGCCACATCCAACATCAAACACTCAGTGAGCACTTTAAGAACACTTGAGTCCCGTTTTTGGTGCAAGACCGCATTTCCTGCCTCCGTCTAGTCGGGAACCCATGGTCTCCCCAAAGAGGCAGTGTAAGAACACAATAGAAAAATGATATTATTGTAGCCCTGGCTGGTGTAGCTCAGTGGATTGAGTGTGGGCCTGCGGACCAAACAACCACAGGTTTAATTCCCAGTCAGGGCACATGCCTGGGTTGCAGGCCAGTTTCCAGCAGGGGATGCAGGACAGGCAACCACACATTGATATTTCTCTCCCCTTCTCCTTCCCTTCCCCTCTAAAGATAAATAAATAAAATATTTTTAAAAGATATTATTGTAGTCATCCCTTTAAAAGCTGAAGAGTTCCTGATCAGTTTTTCCTATCATGTGACGCAGTTTCATTAACTAAGAAAGCTTACTTATGTCATTAAAAATCAGAATGATTAGATACTTGGTCAATTCGATCACAAATTCAAGAAGGCAGACTGTCTCCCACCCCCAATCCCCAACCCCCCAAACTTTTAAGTAGTTAAAAGTTTTAAACTTTTAATTTAAACGTTTAAATATTTTATGGATTTAATAACTGTTTTAATTGTTTTCATACTCCAAGTCACAAAAACGGTGCATTGAAATTCTTTATATATGGGTTTATCCCTTTTGTCTCCTAAAAATGATTTCAAAACTAGGAATAGTGTGGAAAAATCAATAATTTATCAAAATAAATGTGTTTTCAAAAATATGTGTACTTTAAAATGTCCTCCCATAAAAAACACACAGCCTTGTTTTGTAATTTTTACTGCCTTGATTTATAATTATTCTATTGTTAGGAAACAATTTTATGTGGAAATGAAGAGCTTAGTTTCCTTCAGGTGCAGACAGTAGAATATATGATAAAGGGATAATATAATTCATTGTTTCTGAGACAGTCCCAAAGCACCAAAACAAACAACAAACAAAAAAATACTTGATAATAAAAATGATGCTCGCCCTAAGAACAGACAAGACCTGGACTAAATATTAACCCCATGTAATTTGGACAAGTTAAAGAGCTTCCGTGAGACTCAAATTCCATTTCTATTATATAAGGATAGGAACATTCAACTTAGTAAAGTTACAAGGAAAAGCCATCACCACGCACCCAAGAGAAGGCAAGCACTTGCCACGAGTTACCTGCTTAAAAAATGTGATGTTCACAAATCGTCAATTTATCCCTCAACTCCCTTTCCCTACATTACTAGGATTTCTAGATAATTAGTTTATTGGGTTAATTAGTGCTTTCATGGACAGTAAAAATATTCACCAAGTGTTTTCCAATACCATTCTAAAAACTTCCCATGTAAAGAATAAAATCTCTAGTCCCACATCTCACTATTCCTAGGAGATACAACTTTTAATATACTTGAGATAGGAATTGCATCCAAAAATAATGCAGGATAATCTTTTTTATAACATCTGCTGAAGACATATTTCTTTCAACAGAAACACACATTGATTTCAGAGAGACACTCGTTAAGTGTGTCTAAATCCACATATTTATTAAGTTGACCAGGATGGTCATTAAGGATGAAGATGCCACACTCTCCCTGATGAATAAATTCTGCATGATGGTATGCAAAAATGAGTTAGACTTCATATGGTCTTCAAGTTTCATCATCTTGGAATAAAATAAGCAATCATTAAATTTTCAAGTAAGCATATCTTCTGTGATTGTGCTTAATTCAAGTTGACAATTATTAAATTGTTATTTATATTTGTTGGAGACCACAATCTATCTGTTGTCTAACATATATATATATATATATATTCCCCACCATAACTGTTCATTATACAGCATGATAAAAAGATAGTAGGACTTAACACAGTAGTAGTAGCCGCGGTGAATGACGGGAACATACCTGAAAATAACTGTTTTGTAGGAGCACTGAGCTGTGCGTGCTTTGAAACTCTGTAAGCAGTATCTGACCCTTTTGAATTCTTTCTGTTTGTGCAGAAGCCTGTTGTTTTCGATATCCCCTCTGGGGAATTATGAAAATCTAGAGCTTTTAGTACATCAACTGGAGCGGCTGAAAAATAAATTAAAAAGAAGAAAAACATAATCGGACAAATAATCTCTAATATAAAAATGAGTATTTTTAACAGAGGACATGGTTTGTTCTTCCACTTCTCAAATCTGTTTATCACTTGAAATGCTTCCCTAACACTTGGGTGGGGAGCCAAGAAGTGGGGCAACAGGTACAATACAAACCAAAACATTTTCAAAGGCAAAGTGTCTCTAATGAGGAATCAAGTTATGCAATAACAAAGCAGAATACTTCCACACATATATACATACATATATAGGTATATATAGAATATGTATGTGAATGTGTATATATGTAGATTGAGAACTTAATACAACCTTTCTATGAATGTACATTCTGATGCACCTCTATTACAACTTATAAATCTTTAATTCTTCTAAGTAATGACATGTTTGCCATTAAAATGAAAGCCAACATCTGTACATATTCCATTAACTTCTAATACATCCACTAGTTAACTCTTCATAACCTAAATACAGGTGATTTTGAAGATTCAAACTCAGAATGGACGTTATGCATAAATATTGTAAATGAGCAGTTACTAAGCCACGTTGGGTATACAAAGAGATGTTAGAAGATGTTAAAAGAATAGTCAAAATATAATGCCCTCATATTGAGTGCTTTCTGATATTATTTACAAAGTACTACATATAAAGGAGCCTATACTTGCATGGACATGTGTGTCTGTGTTATGTGTACATGCATGCATGCATGTATCGGTGTGGAATTTATTGATTTTCACCATCTAGATTTGCCAGAGTACCTCATGGGCATTGCATCGTGCTGCAATATTAGACTAAAAGCCCCTGGAGATAAGTAATCATGTTCTTTTTTCCCTCCTCTTAAGGCGCATCCCACTGTCTCACACAGGTCCACTTGTTGGCGGAAGCATGAATTCCCCAAATCTGATTCCTTCCAGCCCCTCCCCCCACCACAAAGTGATCAGTAGAAAATGAGCTGGAGACCTTGAACTTCCCCTTCTGGTAAACTTGATGCCGTAAACAGATTGATTGGAATATACTTCACATACAATGCAATTTAAAACTAGACAATTCATCGGTTTTGGTATATTATGCTTTTCATTTTTACACATCCTAAATAGATACACCATCAAATTTGCCATTTTAACCATTTTAAAGTGTACAGTTGAGGAGCATAATTACATTCACAGCATCGGGTAACCGTCACCACCATCTACTGGGCCGGCCAAAAAGTCCATTTCATTTTTTTCCATAAAATAAAGCACACATTTTTGTCATTTTCACCAATGACTTTATTAACTTGGACATGTTGAGTATGTCGGCTATCTCTCACATGATATAACATTGATTATTCGCAGTGAATGTCTTGATTTGATCGCTATCAACTTCAACTGGTCCACCCGACAGTGGAGCACAGTCCAGCGAGAAATCTCCAGCACGAAACTTCACAAACCGCTTTTGACACATTCGTTCAGTCACAGCACCTTCTCCACACACTGCACAAATCTTTTTTGCATTTCAGTTGTGTTTTTACCTTTCTTGAAATAATAAAGCATAATATGCCAAAAATATTGCATACTTTCTCCCATTCTCGGTATTAAAATGGCTACATAAAAATTCACCAATTTTGATGTTTTTTAATGCACACTGATATGACAGCTGTCACAATACCATCTAACAGGATTTTTTTTCAAATGAAGTTAAAGACAACTGAGCACTACTAGAGCCATCATACGGAAAAAACCAAACAAACTTTTTTGGCTAACTCAATATTTCCAAAACTTTTTCATCACCCCAAAGAGAAACTCTGTACTCACTAATTCCCTACTTTCCCCCTCTCCTAAGCGCTTGGTAATCTCTATTCTACTTTTGGTCTATGTGAATTTGCCTCTTTTAGATATTTCATATGATATTACAATGTTCCTCAAAACATTAAACACAGAAGTACCTACAGTCAAGCAATTCCTCTCCTAGGCATATACCCAAAGAATTGAAAGCTGAGACTTAAACAGATGCCTGCACATCACTCTTCATTGCTGCATTATTCACAATAGCCGAAAGGTAGAGGTAACCCAGGTACTGATCAATATGTGAACAGAATGTACTATATACATACAATACAATAGGATTTGGCGATAAAAAGGAACAAAGTTCTGATACATGCTACAACATGGATGGACCTTCAGAACATGACACTGTATGAAATGAGCCAGGCACACAAAAGGACAAGCGACTTTTTCAGACCTTCAGATTTCCTGACCCACAACTAGCATCATTCAATTCACTCGAAGGGTATGAACCACACAAATCACGAGATGTAAGCACCGTTACAAAACCAGACTTCAAGAATCCGTGTCAATCAACACACTTTCATTCTATGGGCTTTCTATTTTTATTCAAAAGTTTAAATTTTCAGAAGAGACCACTTGCTGGCCAATGTATCACTGAGCATGTCTGAAACGTAGTCTTCACCTCAAATACTGAGATTCAAACTAAGAAGCGACTAATGATGCCCAGGAAGCATGTAGGAGGCAGTGTCTGTATTTTAGAAGATTCACAAAGCCCTGTTTTGTTCAGAAGGAAAAGAAATCACTTCTGGCTGAAAGTGAGCACCAATACTTTAGACTGGAAAGGTTCCAGTTGTTCATTTAAAAAAATAGAATTGCCATCATGTCTCAAACACGGTAGGTTTCATAAATACACTGTTTCTGGGAGTACTTGAGGAGGACGAAAACGGGGCTGGTTTGAGGGTCAGGAAGTGCGACCACCGGAGTTGACCACACAAAGTAGAAGTGATGTGCAACCAGCCTATTCTTTGAAAATCACAATTTCAATTAATATTCTTCACAATAACTTTCTGTCTTTTATAGAATCTGTGAGTGAACACCTGTGAGCGGTGTACATCCGGTCACTCCCTGGGGGGGCACTGACTTCAACGTGTACAAACACAGGCAGATGAGGCTTTAAGTACTTTGCCTCCTACAGTATAACTAATGTACTTTCCTTTATCAATAAAGACCATCCACTTATTTCCTCAAGCTTCTGAATGAACATCAACCTACAACCCAGTATAGCAGACATCATTTCTAATTATTAAAAAGAAAAAAAACTTTTCTTTATGGAAATTGGATGCTTTGAAGGGATCATTAACTCTATTAAACATGACACTTGTTAGTTCAGACTTGGAATATTTAGAGAACAATAAGAGGAGTGAAGAACATCTTTTACAAGGTCCTATTTGCAATGGCCAATCTTTTTAGGCCAGTAGACACCTGACCATTCTTACCATCGTCTTTTCTCCTGAGATAAAACTAAGAGAGTAAGAACTATAACAGCTGCGATGTCCAGAGAGTTTCATATGTACCAGTCACTGGGCTAAGTTATTCTCAGTCCTTAAGGCTCACAGATCATTCGGGGGCTGTGTTCCCACCCACACAGTGCACAGGAGGGAACTGGGAACTGAAAGCAAACTAAGGATGATCTCACCTGTACATGGAACCTAATGAACAAAACAAGTAAGCAAAATATAACCAACAGATGGAAATTAAAAAAAACTGACAGTAATCAGGGGCAGGGGGAGAGGGATAATTGGGGGAAACAGGGGGTGAGCCATCAAAAAACATGTATAAAGGACCCAGGGACAAAGCCAAAGCGGGTAGGTACCACGGTGGGAGGTGGAGGTGAGTGGGGCAGCGGAAGATGGAGAAAACGGTAGTTGAACAACAATAAAAAAAATTAATTAAAAAAAAAAGGGATGCACCTAAAGTCTGTGCACATATCCGACCTGGGCTTTTGGAATTCCACCACCCTCCTCACTATACCCCAGAAATAAAAACCCTGCAAAAAGAAACTTAAAACATAGACATCACATATGAAAATGATCTCGAGGCTGTTAATTGACCCCTGATGTTTGTATTTGTTTTCAATGACACTCAATTCAGGCTGCAGGTACACAGGACTCCGAAGGAGACCATCACAACTAATCTGTGTGTTTTATCTTATCTTCTTGCTCGGAAGCCGTTAGGAAAAGTACCTCTGAATTGTTTAAAAACCCCAGGATGGGAACACAAGCACAAAGGCTGTAATTCTGAGAAGAAAAGGAGTCAGCCCCATGGTCGGACTGCACAGAGGGAAATGATACATAAAGTAGACCGTGACTTCCCTTTTCTCTGTGCAACCTTTCCACAGGAGGGACCTCCTCCAGGAGCCAAGGGCTTGTGCCATTGGTCCTTTCCTACTGGGAAAGGGACGTGACAAGAACACATTTCTACTTCAGGACTCACACTAAGGGCTCTAGCTTCTTCATGCAGTTCCTTGGAGAAACACATGCTATGAAGTAATTACTCACTCTTCACAAAACAGCCGAAAAATAGAGACATCTAATGGAGATGTCAAATAGATTTTTTTTTTTTTGCTAAAAAGTCATGTCAAGGTCCCAAGACATAGCTCAGTGAACCAAGTCTCAAAGTTGTTTTTTTTCCTTTCAAATTAAATCACTAATAAATGAAGCCACTTTGAAATCTGCCTTTTGTCTGACCTCGTAATCACAGCATTTAACAAATTCTTACGGTTCTAAGGTGTTATACAGATGCGCATGCGCGCGCACAGGCAAACTATTGGTCACATTTAGCTCGACTGCAACTGCGAACGATTAAAGATGCTCATTGAATTTGGCTCAACCCAATATATCTAAAAGAAGTGAAATTTCCATATTCAAAGCAACTCTTAAAGGCCCTAAGTATTTTAACGGTTTCTACTAGTTGCTAATAGAGATCGCACGCAGCATGATGAACTTTTCAGATGTACCCCATCAGAAGAATATTTGGTTCAATCATATTTTCCTGGCTTTTATTGTCTACTTTTATTGTTTGTTTTATGGGAGAATAGGACATCAGAGCCAGTCCAGTACTACAATAGCCATTGGACGGTTTTCCATGGCTTTTCTTATTAATCTGCATGCCACAGCTTGCGTAAGCTGCCAAAACTCCATGCATCATCATG